CCCCGAAGCCTGGAACTTTGCAGCCTGGGTTTTAAAAATGATTTGTGCCAGAGCAAGTCTAAACAGAAGCTGGTTGGCGTTAGTCTGACTGTGACCCACTGGCAACTGCTGAGACTGCAGGAGCCACTTCCTCCTGCTGAGGCTGGCACTCCTGCCCTCCTGGGCTGCCCCCTCCCAAAGCTCCTGTGACTTACTGCTCGTGTCTGCAGGTTAATCCCTGGATTGTCTGTGTACTGCTGTGACACAGTGGGCCTCAGAGCTCTCACTGGCCTGAAGGTCATTGTTACCAACAAACACTGCCCTTTCTCCACCTCCAGAGTGGCCCAGAGCGCCCCTAGCTTGTGCAGCCATAATTTCTGATGTCATGCAAATCCCTCCCTGGACACAGCTCCTGATCAAAGAGAGATCAGCTGGGGGATGCCCTGTCTCCCTGGCCCATTCAAGGCTGTGAATCACGCATGCCACTTGCTGGCCCCCCATGCTTCTGCCCTCTGCCTCGGAAGTGTTGGTTTTGCTATTGATGGCTCTGGGGTTGGCTGTGAAGTTGTGGATGGGGGAATGCACTATGAATGTCTGTGTAGGCTGGGGCAGGTGCAGGGGAGGTGTGCATCTAAGAGCTGGGAAGTACTAAAGGGATGACACAGAGGGAAAAAAGGAGAGCAAGGGTGGGGTTCCAGGGCTGGATGGGAGGGGCATTTACAACTGCTCCCAGGGGTGCACATCTCCCCTTTGGGAGGCTTGAGTGCCTTGTTTAAACACCCCTCTAGTTTCCAGAAGGGTCAGCACAGACCCCATGACACCCTGGCTGGTGACACATGGCCAACCAAATTTACCCTGAATGGGTTTCAAGTCTGACCACGCTTTCTCCCTTCTTATTCTACATTCTCCTTTTCCTCCTGGAAGTTGCCCACTATGGGGACTGGAGAGAGAGGAGGAGCAGGCACTCAAAGCTACATAGCACTCCCGTGGGATTATTTTAAAGGCTTGGTTTGTTTGCAGATTCTCCAAGCCCAGATCTTGACCCCTTGTGGGCCCAAATGTGGCATCAGGTGTTCAGGGTACAGGGTTCTGTACAGAACACATGTCTGCACTGGAAGTGCTTTCCTGAGCTCAGGTGTTTAAAGGTGGGCACATCTAAAGAGAGAAAAACATGGAGCTTCCCACTGCCATGGGCAGAGCGAGAAGGCTGTCCAGCAGGGAGAGCAAGGAAGCGGTTCCTCTGGTCCTCTGGAGCTCACTCTGCTCCATCAAGGAGTAAGATCCTGGGATGGGCTAGGAGATTGTAAACCTGCTCCTCCCATCCTGGGGAAGCAAGACAAAGTGGGCAAAAGTTGCTGCTGATTTCCAGAAGAGCTTTCTAAAAGAATATTCTTATATTCCAGATTCCACAAGCACCAGCCTGAGGAGCTGAAAGCCAAGAGTGGAGGTTTCCGGAGTGGACTATTGCCAAAGGGCCTCTGTGCTCTGAGAGAAGACACAGGGATGCAGGGACTCACAAGGGAACAAGTGATGTCCTCGAGCCTCGTTTTGTTCTTTGATCAGTTATGGGCTTGCAGATTACATTCCATGCAACAAACTGTATGGTGAGCCTGCTGAGGGCCAGGCATGGGCGTTCCCTGGAGATAAACAAGTCAGGAGGTCACACACATAAACGTTCATGGCAACTCAGCACAAGTAGGCCTAGTGGGAATTCACGTAAGGTCTAGAGGGAAGGGCATGATGACTGGGAGCTCACTCTGAGATGAGTTTTAAGGATGAAGAGAAGTCTGGCAGGCAGGTCTGGCCCGCCAGTGAACAGCATGTGGAAAGGCTCAGGAACATACAGCTGCACAGAACACTTACAGAACTAAAAGATGGGTTTTTTCATTCGACTAGAGTGAAAGTGAAGATGGAATGGAAGGAGATGAGGCTGGGGAAGCAGCCACGGATAAGATCATCAAGGGTCTTATATGCCATCTGTTATGGGTTGGATGATTGTATCCCCTTGCAAATGCATATGGTGAAGTCCTCAGTTGTAACCCTCAGTAGCTCAGAATGTGACCTTATTTGGAAATCAGATTGTTGCAGACGTAATTAGTTAAGATGAGGTCATCCTGGAGTAGCATGGGCCCCTAACCCAATATGACTTGGGTCCTTACAAAGAGGGAAATTTGGACACAGTCACATACACAGGGGAAACACCATGTGAAGAGGAAGGCAGAGATCATGGTGTTGCTTCTACAAGTCCAGGAACTCCAAGGATTACCAGCAAACCACCAGCAGCTAGGGGAGAGGCCTAGAGCACATTCTCCCCCATAGCCCTCAGAAGGAACCAACCCTGCCAACACCGTGATCTCAGACTTCCAGCCTCCAGAACTGGGAGATAATAAATTTCTATTTTTGAAGCTGTCCGGTTTACAGTACTTTGTTTCAGCAGCGCTACCAAATACGAGCCAAGGGGTTAAGTCAGGGAGTGACATAGAAGATTTTGGAAAGATCACTGTGTGTGTGTGTGCGCGTGTGTGTGTGCATGTGCACACAGGACTGCAGAGGGCACCTATGGGGGCAATGCTGAGATCAAGGAGCCGGGCAAGGTCCAGAGATGAGAAAGGCTGAACAATAAAGATGAAGAAGGGGAATGTTTCAAGATACACACAGACAGTAAAACCAGCAAGAATTGGTGATGGGTTGTGAGTCAGGATCAGCCCAAGAAACCCAGAGTATAAGCAGGAATCGAATGAGCTGCAGCTGAACCCAGATGAATGTAAAATTCTGTATGGGGTACAAAAAGCCACTGCCCAAGGATGGGCTTTGGGGACACAGGACTCAGCAGAGCCAAGTGGGGAACACATGGGCCTGGGTCAGCTGTGAGCTCAAGCCAGGCAGCTACCACAAGGCTGGGGAGCCTTCCAGTCACATCACAGGGGTCTTGGGTTCAGTACAAAAAAAAACAGGGGTGGCCCCTCAGCACCCAACCCTGGTCTTGCAGCTCCCCAGGAACTGCATTTAGTTCTGGATGTCACTCTGAGAGGGACCAAAACAATGGAATACTCAGGGAGGGGCAGTGCAGCAAGAACTTGGACAGCTTGTTCCCTCAGGACTGGCTGTGGGAATGCAGGTGACGGTCTCTAAAAGTCTGCCTCAGCTGGGAGGGCACCTACCAGACCTATGCATGAAAACTGCGGCCAAGTGGAGAGGGCAGGTGCCAAGGGGCAGACCTCAGTTCAGCCAGAGGAAGAATTTTCTAATAGGCAGAGCCTTTTGAAGTTGGGTTGGCATGGGCTTCCCTGAGAGTTTCAGAGTGCCTTTTCTTAAAGGAAGGTAAACTAAGGCTGCACAGCCTCTTGGTAGGGGTTACAGGTGGGATTCACGCATCAGCTGAAGGGTTGGACTCAGAAGTCCCTCCTAAGCCTCCAAATTCTGTAGTTCTAAGATCTAAAGGTCTCTCAAAAGATCATAAGAGCAACCATCCCACTCCCCAAAACCTGTAAGTGCCTTACAGCCTGCAGGGCTTTCTCACCTCTATCAGCTCCTCGTAGGTCCTGTGAGGCAGACAGCTGGAGTTAAGAGTCCACTTTACAGAAGGGAACACTGAAGCCTTGAGTCATAGAGCTGGGGAGTAGCAGAGTCTGGAGCTCTGGGCTCTCACCCTGCCCAGCCCTGCCTGGCTGTCCTCCTGGCCCTGGCAAGCGGAACACGGTGTGCCAAGGTGCAGGGGGCCCTAGATCAAGCTGGGGTTTAGGGTCCCACAAGGCTGGGTTCCAAGCCTAGCACCACCATTTCCTATGTGTGACCCTCTGAAATTATCTTGGCCACTCTGGGTCTGAGTTTCCTTCTCCATATGAGAGAAGGGAGGTATGAGGATGAAATGAGATCACACTGTAAAAAGCTTCCCTCGGAGCAGTCTGATGAATCTTGCTTCCCTTACCTTTAGGTTAAAAATGTGAACCTGGAAATGTATTCTGAATTATTAGAGGAAGTCAATATTTAAAAGAATTTCTTGGTAAAGAGACCCCTTAACCATCATTTTAGCGATAACATTTCTAGGTGCAAGTAAGAGCAGGGAGGACTCAGACGTGAGCAGGAAAGGTGGCTTGGCAGAAGGACCTGCATCGAGGCTCCCGGGATCCCCTCTGGGCTCTCCACCCCCTGAGGCCCGATCCCTGGCCTGAGCCCATCAGAATACAGGCTTCTCACACGCTGAGAAGGCCCAAATCTGACACTTGCTGAGGACATTTTCAGCCCTGCTCACAAAACAATACCACCTACATTTGCAGGACTGTTTGGCAGCTCTGGAGGCCACGTGCACCCACTTCCCTGAGCCTCACGACAACCCTGGGAAGAAGGCTCAGCATTGTTCCCATTTGATGATAGCTAGCAAAACCAAGGCCCAGAAAGCTAAAGTAGAAGGTGACACAGCTGGCCTTCTATTCAGTACTCTGCCTGGGTTATGGCCCTTGCTCCCATCTCCACCAACATCGCGTGCCCACCAATTCCCTACCATTTCCAAGGTTTAGGTTCTGGGCTGTTCTGACCCCAGTCCCGGACTTATTATCAGGGTCCTAGTAGGCCAGGCAGTCCAGTAGGATAGTCCCAGGCACCCAGCTTGAAGCCTAGCTCTGTCATTTATTAATGATGCGCCTTTAGACAACTTTCCTAGGTCTCAGGTTTTTCATCCATACAACAGGAAAGTCATAAGGCAGTGGTTGCTATGAGGACTGGGGAGATGATACATGCAAGCACGCCTGGGGCCCACAGGCATGAAACGAGTACAACTCACTAAGATCATTTCAAGGTGAGGTGTGGTCAAGATAGCTTGACTAAACGCTTTCTCCTGGGCTCAGAAAGGTAGTCCTGGGGGCCACTGATCTGAGGGTGTCCCTCCCTCTCCCCGCAATCATGGGCCCAGGAGGGGGCGCAGCCCTGCAAGGAGACAAGCTCCGCCTCTGGGAGCGGGCCATGGGGCAGGGGAAGGAGGGGGCTCTGCACGAAGGGACTTTCGGGGCCACGGGCGGGCTCACCTTGCGAAGGCTGCAGCTCCTCCACGACGCTCTCGGCCGCCGTCTCCTCTGCCCACGTGCCGGCCTCCAGCACCTTGTAGCGGCTGCGTGGCTGGCTGAGCACGTGAGGGACCTGCAGCGCTGCCTCACGCTCCGCTGCCAGGTCCAGGTCCTGCTGCGCCAGGTGCGCCCGCAGCTGTCGGATCTCAAACTGCAAGATAGAGATGGGTGGTAGGCTGCGCCAGGCAGGTGGGCGGGGGCCTGGACTGCCCCGGCCCGACATCTGGGGCGCTTTGCTCATGGAAGGAGATGGGCTGAAGGAATGAGCTGAGTGTCCAAAGGCTGGATGCAGTGTTCCTTACACGTCTGCTAACACTAATCCCAAGAGCCTCTGACATTTATGGAGCTTTTTCCAAGTAATAATGTGTGTTCCTGTGTCTCATTTCTGATACTGTGTAGTATGGCCCCGTTTTGAGGACAAGATGGCCGGGAGAAGAAATACAACTGTGGTTCGTGGGAAGGGCACTGGAGGAGGAACCAGGAAAACCGGGTTTGAATCCAGCTCTCACTACTTGCCTAAATGTGAGACCCAAATGGTTCTTGTCAAAGTGAGAGCCTTATTCAGGTGTCTTACACTGATGATGGATGGAACACAGGAAACGCTAAACATGAGGGCCACCCAGCCTTGGGGGCCCATTTTGGCATCAGGGGCCTGCTGGACTTTCCGTTGGTTCATTTGTCTTCCAGAAATACCCACTTCCCTCTTCTAGGAGGTGTTCTGAGGGCAGTGGATGACTCCCAGTCAGACAGGACTGGGCTCCAGCCCCAGCCCTGTGGCTTACTGGCCATATGACCTTGGTTTCCTTATCAGTAAAATGGGGGTTTTCATCCCATAGAGCTCTCTGGAGGACTTGGGTGCTTCATAAGGGCTTTGTAAAAAGCTGCACACATTTGGATTTTGGTTTACTTTTTTGTTGGGGAAAGCTTCTTGGAGAAGCTTCCAGATGCCTCTTGGGTTTGTCGCTGAGACGGCTATTCACACCCTGGGCCATCTGGGGGAGGCAAGGTTTGGGTCTGGCATTGCAGGAAGCACTGCGGGCTCAGCAAAAGGAGAGCCTTCACTGCCACCTAGTGTTCCAAGCACACTGCATCATTTCTGCACAACTTCCTGTCAAAGCTCCAAAGACCTGCAGCAGGTGGGAGGGAGAGGGTCCCAGGGAGGCCCAGGGCCTGGGCTCCCCAGCTAGGAGATTACCTAGTTGCACATGAAGCCCAATCTCTGGCCCTGACTCCTCCCTGCAATGTCAGACTCACACCTCCAACTACCTACCTGACAGCAACAAGCAATTAGGTCACAGGAGTCACACACTCAACCTAGTCAAAACAGGACTCTTCACTGTGTCCCCAAACTTGCTCCTCAGGTGTTTTCATCTCATTTTCGCCAGAGCCAGGAATGGAGTCACCTCCCTGCTTCTTTGCTTTCCCTCACCCCACCATCCAATCTGCCCCCAAGTCCAGCTCCACCTCCCAGTGCTACCCTAAGTCTGCCCACCTCCCTGCACCTCCACTGCCAGCTCTCACCTGCAGCTTCTACAGCCCTCTACCAGCCGTTCTCCAACAGGAGTCAGAGGGATTCTCTCAAACCTAGATCAGATCATGTCACCCCCTTGTCCATAAACCTCAGTTGGGAGAAAACCCAAACTCCTTCCCCTTAGCTTACAAAGCAGGTGCACGATCTGGCCCTGCCTACCTTGCCCACTTCATCTCATCCTTTCTCCCTTTACCTCCCCCTGTGACATGGCCCTTCTCGTAGTTCCTTAAATACACCAAGTGTGTGTTGGTTGCAGGGCCATTTCCCCAGCTGTGCTCTCTGCTCCCAGATCACATGGCCGGTTCACCCTCAGAGGGGCCTCCCCTAACCCTCCACTAAGGCAGCCACCCAGGCACTCCATCACATCAGTCTGTTTGAATTCTCTGCATCTCACTTAGCACCTTCTGATATTTTTGCTTATTTATATGTTTTATTATTTTTCTTTTGATGAAAGTGAAACACACAGTTAAAACATTCACTAACATTGGGGTGGCTGGGCAGCAAACTGGCATCGGGGCATTCACAGGTTTTATCTCTGGGACCACTCAGTTTTTCAGAGAGTTTGTCAGCCTCCTGCCTGAGGACGCACCTCTGGCTGCCTCTGTGCTGGGAGCAGGGCAGGGGAATGGGCAGAGGGTCCCGCCGTTAGATGGAAGGACTTCCACTTAATCCTCATTTTCAGCCCTGCATCTCTCCCCGGGCCCCTGCCTAATCCAGTTCCCAGCTTTGTAGTTCAATTTCTCCAGAGGACAAACCTCTTGACTCTTGTAGGGTTGGGGAGTCTGGTCTCCTGGCTGTGTAGGATTTGGGAGGAGGCCCAGGGAGTTCAAATATTATGTGTACAGACTTTTCGCCAACCCCCTGTGGTCACTTTCACACTCACCCACTTCGACTCAAACTCTCAGGAGTTCTGAGGGAAGAATTAACCCATTTCCCTCACTGTCCTCCTCTGTGGGCACTTTAGTTATAAATTCTCCACTCTGCTAGATCAGTTACCCCTTTCTCATCCACTCTCCATTTTCCCCAAATCCACTGAAATCTTTATGTTCTTTGTCCTGATGGACAGGACTTAAAGAGACAGTTTGCTAATTCTTATGTGTTTACAATTTTTTTTTTTCTTTACTATCATTTTAGTGGAGTTTTGGGAAGGAGATCAGATAAATACGTCACTCCACCATTTTCTTTAAAGTCTGCCTATTGGTTTTCCTCTCTCACACCTGCAGTTCTATGCTGGCAGAAAAAAAAAAAGAGGCCTGATTTGTAGTGTGTGCTAATCTCTGTGGTGTAAATACTCCCACTATGGCTGATTTCAAATTACCAAGATGATGTCATGCAGATTTTGGAAGAAATGTACACAGTTGGCTCTCATGAGCCAGTGAGAGCTCCAGCACGCCACTGCCACCCTCACCCCCTGATAGAATACGTCTGGAAGAGCAGGGATCTTATCTGTTTTGTTGCATGGTACACAGGAGGCACTCAATAAATATTGTTGAACAAATGAATAAATGAATGAAACTAGTCAGCTTTACTAAATTCCATGGTTTCAGACTGAGCCCTAACTCCAGCCACAAACTGAGCCCCAGCCCTAGCCCAACTCTGAGACAAAGCCTGAGCTCCAATGCCGAGCCCTGATCCTGGTCACACACAGAATCCTGATCCTAGTCACACACAGAATCCTGATCCTAGTCACACACCGAGCCCTGACTCTGGCCTCTGACTAGGCTCAGACTCTGGACCTCAACAACCCAGTACTCAAATGGGGCTGTTGGTCTCAGAGGGTGAGAAAGCGAAACTAGTTCATTAAAAGATGGCCTGTGCAGAGGGAGAGGGTCTGAGCTGCCCCTCTGGCAGCAAGGTCACAGAGGGCCCATGAGGCGAGCCTCCTGAGCTCTGCTGGGGCTGAGTGCCCCTCCTGCCCAGGCTGATCTGAACTTCCCATGGGCACACCGAGCCTACTTTCTCCAATGCTGCTCATCAGGGCCGGCAGGCCCAGATAATGGCCTCCTAGGCCACTCTGAACAGATGCATTATTGATAACTAGTAATTGATACAGAGCTGCCCATGAGTGTCCCACTGGAATTTAGGCCAGACAGCCAGAGGCCAGAGCTTGCCCAGCCCCAAGCCCACATGTGTAGACACAGGCGCATACACTGAAACAAGTTTTGGGCTAGAGATATGAACCCCAAGTGTGTGGTAGCTTTCCCATGCATGCATACATTCATTCATTCATTCATTCACTAAGAAGTCAGGTAAAGTGTGGTGAGGGCTATGTTAAAATTCTGTTATATGTTTTGGAATGAAAATACCTCTTTCAGCTTGGAAACGAGTCCTGGCTGGCCCAGTAGGGGGGCTGTCTGCTGTACTTCAGGGAACAAATCTCCTGCGAGAATCCCAAGGGCTGGCTCTGGATAGCACTTGTGGCTGAGGAGGCATGGTGTGTCCAAGAGACAGAGGACTGGTAGTTAAAAAGGGCTGGGAAGTTCGGTAGGGGCCACGCCAGGCAGAGCCTTGTAGCCACACTAAGATATTTTAAGGACTTCAGCCTTTATCTAAAGAGCTACAAGAAATCATTGAAATCTTTTGAACAGACAGGTAGACAGGTGGATGTGCTGGTGTGGTGAGTCAGATAAGCATTTTGAAAGGAACTTGCTGACAGCAGAATAGAGAATGGATTTGATGGGGATGGGCCACAATGGGTATGGAAATACCAGCTGGGAGGCAACTGCAGGAGTCCAGGCCAGAGGTGGCCAGAATTTGGACTAGGGTGGAGAAAGTGGAGATGGAAATGAGAGAATTATTTAGGAGGTAAAAGAGTCAGCATGGGCATGGACTGGAATGGGGATGAGAGAGAGGCAACCTGGTGTGGGGACAAAGTTTTACAAGCTTCATGCCCAGGGGATGTAGGGTGGCTAGATGCTCTCAGCCCTTGCCCTAAGGAGGAATGACTGACTCCTTACAGGGGAACTGCAGATGGGCTAATGGCTCTCAGTTCTGGTCATTGGCTGTGACAGCCTGGGGGCTGTCAGGAGGAACTAGCTGGGACCCGCAGAGCCTGGCTCCTGATTCTCCTATACTAAACATGGCCACATATGCTTCCAGTTGTCTGAAGGGTTGTCAAGGGGTCCTAGGATATCAGGGCCTCATTAGTCAGATGGGCAAACTGAGGCCATAAGGTGGAAAGGAGGCTTCTGTGCTGGGGGATAAAGTGGATGAAAGCTTAGGACCACTTGGTACATCAGAAGCAAAGTTGGGCCCAGAATCCATGCCTCTGGCTTCCAGCCCCACAGAGCTTGTGTCAGGGAACTTGCAGTCTTATGGGCAAGATGGAAGGGACTCAGCTCAAACAGTATGCAGGGGAGCTTGATGGTAGCAGGGGCCAGGAAAGAGCAGGAGGCCCCTACATGGAAAAGAAGCAAGGGTTGGGGGCAGGAGCCTGAGCTCTTAGCCCATCACTGTTCCCTCACTCTGACTTTGGGTAAGTCTCTTTTCCTCTTTGGGCCTTGGTTTCACTGTGTGTTCAATAAGGCAAATGGACTCGCTGAATTCTGAGTCTATGACAAGCTCTGTACTGGCCCTGGGACCCTACCTGGGAGGGAATAAGGTACAAGTGCCAGTTAACT